TATAATAGTGCTGCATCCTGTTGGTAAATCTTATAACTTTTAATGCCTTTGCATATCATAGAACCAACCTTTTTAGTTGAAACAGCTGACTAAATTCTTTAATTCCATTTTAATATGAGTACTCATAAGGTTAACATGGGAAACTCTAGAGCCACTGGGGCGGAGCCCGAAAGGATTTTTGAGATAAAAATATGCCTATACCTATGTTAATCGTGAATGTGAGCTATCATCATGCCAAATTTGAGCCCAATCCATCCAGTAATTAACATGTGATTGAACTTCAAACACACAAACAAACAAACAAACACACAAACTTTCACATTTATAATATTAGTAAGATAGTAGCCTTTCTCATTTCACATGATCTGACAAGGACGGTGTCTCATCAAACTAGTATGATCGTTTTTGTTCAAGCTCCTACGTATGAGCAATCGATGTATCTAAGGTTTAATGGGTGTTGGGTAAAAATAACTAATTTAATTCTGTGCTGGTATTAACATTTTTTACCACAAAAAGATGTGAAACTACTTTATTGTTACCAGTTGTGTGGGGGCAATAAACTATAAACAAATAACTTGGTCTTTCCACATATTTAGACTGGTGTAGTTGTACAGCGTAAGTCTCCGGTTCCGAAGATAACGGATTCACATCCTGGAAATCACCATGACAATTTGACAGATGGCCACCCTGTGCGTTGCTCCTCATGAACGTTGGTGCGGCCATCTTTAAATGCCCTTACCCACCTGCGTAGGTACCATTCCGCTACTCATAATTTTCTCCCCATACACTTCACTAATCTGTCAATGAATTTAAATGGCTTTCACACGTTTAGCACTTTAAAACCGGATGTAAACACAGCCGATTTGTGCCGAATTTCCAGCGCAGACTTGCCAATACATCCACATACACAGCACAAATGTCCAAAATGCCAATCGCAGCACTGAAACGGAGAAATTTAAAAACAGTACTTACTTAAACAACATGCCTTGTATTATTCTGTCACCATAGGTAGGTAACTCTGAAACTTGAACAGTGCTGTAAGTTGATTAAAGTGTATTTTTTTTCCAAATATAAAAACTTAACCGCCACAGCACATCATAAGTTAACACGATGACTGCTGAAAACAACGTACAGGCGCTCCCAAGTGGCGGGCGAAGCCCCGGCACGCAACCGAATCAGCGAACGCAATTGGCATTCAAATATTTCAGTCTGACGAATCACAAAAGAGCAGTGGTGACTGTGCTGCGTTACCCCGAGAGTGGATGTAGTTCACTGAAACACCCAAAGGTAGCAGCACTGCACGGATCCGTATCCAGTGTCTTTGTAATGTGGGTTGAAGAGAAAAAATCCCCGAAACCGGGACAAAAGCATTGCCAGACAGGATTTTACAGGAAATTTTAGTATCAACCTACACCAAAGTAAAGCTCGCATTCTAAGCTGGCAGGCTGGCAACGATTATAACGTCTCCGTCTGAGGCTAAGCTCACACTGACTCAATATATTTCTGTTGGTCTGGTGCCGACTTTTGTTGGCGCGCGCCACATTGAAGTGCTAGCGACGCCGACTAGAGTCGGCGTTAGCAGTCAACGTGTTAATGTTAAACAAGGACTGAAAATGCTTCTAAGTCTTATTGATAACTTAGCCAAACTTACTTATCTTTATTGCTTTCGATTCTTTTCCAAGAAAATTTCTCTCCTTCTTATTTGGCCCCAAATAAGCAGACAACTTCATCAATATTGTTTACATGTGAAGTACTCTCATACATTAACACCAAACATTTGCAATGCTCCAAGCTTTACAAGAAAATTTACCTGGAACAAAAATAGGCAGTGTACATCATTCAGGCCTACTTCTTGTTAAAAGTAAAAGAATATAGAACTAATGACTCAAGGTAGGGCATATTTTCTTTGTACAAATATTTGGATTGGTAGATAAAAACTTAAAAACTCGAAGGCCACTGGTTCTCTCGGACCCAAGTGTCATTACCCAGGTGGAACTAATAAAGTGTGTTTTTTATTAAAACATTAATAGCTTACTATAAAATAAAGCTATCAAGTTTGATTTATAAAAATAAATATAGCCTATATATATATATATATATATATATATATGGTTTAAAATATAAATTAAGCTTTTTGTTGGTCGCAAAACATAAACAAATAAAAAGTAGAAGAAGGTAGCTTCTAATGTTATTCTTATGGGACAAATTTAAAAATGTATTTTGAGGGTTTTATAATTACTACTGAACGGAATCATCTAAATTTTATGGTGTCTTTCCATTGGTGTCATAATTAAGATTCGTGCAATTTTTTAACACTATAGGTGCAACGGTTAGCTTGAGTTTTTTATGCGAACACTTACACACACACACACAGTTAAGCGGACAACTAATCCACGACTCCACTATACACAACACGATACATAGATGACATATTATTTTTTTTTAATTTCTTTAGAAAGGTCTAGAGAATAATTGATAAATTTTGTGTTTTAAGGGTAAAAAATGAGAAAACCCCATTTTTTGGCCTAGGCCCCTTCTCTGCATAGAACTCATTAAAACCCGGTCCCATGGCCCGATCATGCTAGTTCGCGAACTCATTCAGATTTATCCCGCCTTACACCTTCAAACCGAATTTTCATTTGATTTTAGGTTATGAAAGAAACATAATACAAGGATATTTGCCTTTGCCAATTACAATCAATTGTAAGTATGGTGGGCTAATATGAAAAAAGTTGACCCATAGGCCTACTTGCCTAATTTGTAATTTTATCCATGTACTCAGGTATGTGTCACAATTTCATTTTCTTAGGTAGCCTACATTTTTTTTTGCCATAAGTTAACTGCATGGTTTGCTGCCTTGTTTACTGTGTGAAATTAACCTAACTTAAGTTTTGTGACGTTGCCTATTGTAAGTTATTTTATAGACTACTAAATTTCCATTCATTCTTGGCTTAAAATACCTAATATGAATCGTCGCCATTTCATTGAAAAGTATTAACAGTATTGATGGTAGAATAAGTTAAAGGGTACAGTTTCTTAACTGGGCTACGCTAATTTTATTGAAACTATCTCGATTCGATTAGTAAGTAAACCTACATGCGATTTTTTCACCATCAGCAAGTTTGGTTGGTTAAGTTAGGTTATAATTTAATTTTATAATAAACTTAGATAGGTATATTTTAAAATATCTATTATTAATCAATATTTTAAATTCAATACTGTAGTTCAATAAAATATATTAACTTAAGTTAGCGTAGCCCAGTTAAGAAACTGTAGGCCTACCCAAGTTAAATCTCTTGGCTCAGTATTATCACGCTTACCATTTCTAAGGTTACACAAATGATACAAACTTGATAGCCTACTTATATCGAATATAGGCCTACTCGAATACTTAATACTCATTCAAATGAGTGTAGGACGTAAACTTAAGGGCTGCACTTTACTTTACGTCCTACACTCATTCGAATGAAAATATCGATCGATATATCGATTATTAGATAAGTTATATCATTTGGTTAGTTAGGTAAGGTTAACCTAACCTAACTAACCAAACGATATATCAAATGAAACAATCTAATAATCGATATTTTCATTCGAATGAGTGTAGGACGTAAAATAAAGTGCAGCCGTTGAATACATTCACTGATATTTTTATTAAGTTAGTTGTTTAGGCCTGTCACAGGAAATCTGTAACTTGAGTCACAGCTACCTTAAGCTTAAGTAGGCTAGGCAACTGTACCTACTAACTTAACCTAATAACACTCAAGCAAATAATAGCCTACTGCATTTTGTTACTTTGAATAACAAGGCCTAGGAACAGGATTGGATTAAAACATAACTTACTGGATTTCAACACCTCAATAGTTTTGGAATTTTTTGATGTTTACAATTTATTAATAATAATAATTATTGTTCCTCTTCTTTATCTTCTGTCAACACCAGCCGGACTATTGACAAGATTCATTAATTTTCAATGCCGTTATCCTTCACTTCATTTTCATATCTTTTAACTTCTCACTATAAATATTTCTTGCATTTTCATTGTCATATAGCATGTAATTGTTGCCATTTCTCGTATAAAAATCGTTTAAAACATTTAAATAAATAAATGTTTAGATTATAAATTACGATATCGCAGTTGTCAGTACGGTCAATTACAATAATTATCGTATCCTACCATAAAATATCGTATATGGTAGACCTGACTGAAGCGAGCAGCTGATGCCATTCCCACAATGCAACATTCTCTTCAATTATAAGCTATGCCCCAAAATCAGGATTATAAGGTATGACTCAAAATCAGGATTATAAGCTATAGAACAGAATCGGAATTATAAGCTGCGCCACTATTTGACCATTATAAGTTGTGAAACTGAAAATGTGTCATACCTTATAACGTTTTAGAGAAATTGTGGCATAGCTTATAATTTTTCGTGAAAGTGTGGCATAGCTTATAACTGATTATAAGCTATGCCACATTTTCAACATTATAAGCTATGGAACAAATTCACGATTATAAGCTATGACATTATAAGCTATGACACCCCACGTTGCGATCATCTTTACTTTTTATTTCTATGAGGGGTCAGCGAACGTTTTCTATTGTTCATGAGTTCGTAAAGAAAAATAATTTAATAAATTAAATTTAAAATTTCCATATGTTTATACACTTGTACTAATTTGTATTTGTAATTTGTATTTGTACCTAAATCAATGTACTAAATTTATTTTTTCTTGTATTGACTTGTCTAATGGAAGTATTGTCAGTTTGGCCCAATAAATTACTTATTGATTATTTATTGACCTACATATAAAATTTGATTTTTGGATTTGATTTGAAGCTGTCGAAACTGAGTAAAAGCTACATGTGTACAGCTTTGCCTATGCTGTGTTTTCTTTTCGGTTTCTGTTTTCTTCTCTCTTCTCTTCTCTGTACTCTGTGTCTGTCTGTGCTTCACGATCACGATTTGGTCGAGCCTTGCATCATTCTTGTTTTAGGGAATGGGAAAATTAAGCATTTAAACCGATTTAAAAATTTAGTTCAAATATTAATTATAGTTAAAACGCACATAACAAGTTTTTGTTGGTTGGAGTGTAACATATTTAGTCGAAAATGGCTCAATCTAAATTGAACGATATGGCGAATAAATTTGGAGGTAACCCCAAAGGCTTAGGGACCGGACTAAAAGTTCTTGCTGCAGCCGGCGCTGCCGTTTATGCTGTTAGTCAGTCAATGTTCACAGGTAATAAACCAATAATTTAAACTAGCCTATAACAGCCTGATTTGGTTTCCTGTAAAGTTAAAAAAATTCACTATTCCAAGGCTGAAAATTGTTACATCACAAGCCCTGTTGTGACCTAGCTGGGCTTACTTTCAATGTAATGTCAGCTTATCTAGATACCCTACCAAATTGAATTTAGATCTTATTTAAACTTAGTTCATTTTTAGGGTACAGTTCCATTTTTACTTAAGTTAGGCCTACTTCAACAGGCTACTTAAGTTAGCCTACTTGTTCGAACTCTAGGCCTAGGCCTAGTCAATGTTCACAGGTAATAAACCAATAATTTAAACTAGCCTATAACAGCCTGATTTGGTTTCCTGTAAAGTGAAAAAAATTCACTATTCCAAGGCTGAAAATTGTTACATCACAAGCCCTGTTGTGACCTAGCTGGGCTTCCTTTCAATTTATGTCAGCTTATCTAGATACCCTACCAAATTGAATTTAGATCTTATTTAAACTTAGTTCATTTTTAGGGTACAGTTCCATTTTTACTTAAAAGTTAGGCCTACTTCAACAGGCTACTTAAGTTAGCCTACTTGTTCGAGCTCTAGGCCTAGGCTATATTTAGTTAAGTTTAGTCAGGCTACTTCTACCGTATTGGCCTACCAAGGTTAGCCTATTAAGTAAGTTTACATATGTTAATAATACAGTAGGCCAGGACCTACCTAACTTATATGCAAACATGTTTAAAATAATTCTTTGTTTAACCCATTATTTCAAGCACAAAACAGTCTTTAGGTCTAAAGTTTATTTAAATTAACAAACTGGTTTACTACAACATTCACCTTCCTAATCTTAGCCTATCTAAGTTAGGCTAACTTTCTTCAAAACATTTTATGCAGCCAAAGACCCGCATAAAGTCAACCTTGAATGATTTTGGTCTTTGTTTACTTTGGAGGGGCGTTCTAAGTTACCGAATTTTGAAACATTTTTGTGTTATTTCTGTGTCATATTAATTGTACCTGCAACTAAATCAACTTAAATTATTGAATCTAGTAGTTATTATTGCATGTAAGCGGCTTTGAAAGAAAAATGTATATAATAATGGTATTTATTCCGTACAGGTGCCTCCAAACGATTTTTTAATTTTGATATCTTACTTTATAGTTTTTTACCTCCTGAATCCAAATATACCATTAATTTTCACCGCTGATGAATATTTCTCAAGATATCGCCGTAAAAACATACCTAACATTACTATAAACAAGATAACTTAGGATGGATGACATTTACAAGTGGAATGAACTGTAGGTTAACTAAGCCTTAAGCCTACTTACAGCTGATTCTGTCACCGGCAATTTGCCTATTGACGACATTTTACTTCACTACAAAACAAAATACTCATTAGTACCTACTCCATACGTGTTGCGTAGTGCTAGCTAAGTGCTATTCTGTCTGCTACGCCGTCGCCATCACAAGTTCAGATTAAGTTAAGTGAAGAGAGTAACATGGTTGATGAGAAGAATAACATCGTTGTAGACACGGCCGCCTTTAACAACGGCCGCAGGCGGCCGTGCTTTAACTTTGTAGAAACATATCAAGTGATTCTATAGTCAATAAATAAAGGTTTACTACAATAGGAATTTCGTCACATTATTGAGATATAGATGTAATAATGGACTAATTACTCGTGGTTCTTATTTAGGCATGTCAGGGTGGTAGGTCGTGCTATATGTGAATTGGTGACTGCATTAAGTGTTTTGAAGTTAGGTTAGATTAGGAAGGTAAAGTTTAGGTTATAATGTATCGAGTTGTTAGTTTATGTCGCCTGCAGACTGTTTTTGTAAAATTAAAATCCTGAGAAAAACACTTCAAATTACTATTTCAAAAATGCTTGCATTTTTGAAATAGTAATTTGATGTGTTTTTTCTGGATTTTAATTTTACAAAAACAGTCTGCAGGCGACATAAACTAACAACTCGATACATTATAACCTAAACTTTAACTTACCTAATCTAACCTACCTTCAAAGGACTTAATGCAGTCACCAATTCACATAAAGCACGACCTATCACCCTGACATGCCTTTTCTGACATCAAAAGGAGTTTGCTTACACATTCTAGAGGTTTGGTTGGGTTAGGTTATGTTAGAATAGCACCATTTTAGTATGTAATTTCTAAACGGCGAAATATAAATCAATAAATCATTAATAAGGATAAAATACTGGTAACAATAATACATTATTAACTTGTTGGTCTTAGAAAGTGAAAAGTGTAACTTAATCAGGTGATTTTCATATTGCAGAATCAGAGTTAGCTAATTAAAGTTGTCACTTCCATTTGCTTGACTATGGTTGAAAACAATCAGCTGGTTGGTTTCCCATAGTACATTCCACTTGTAAATGTCATCCATCCTACCTTGTTTATTGTAATGTTAAGTATGTTTTTACGGTGATATCTTGAGAAATATTCATCAGCGGTGAAAATTAATGGTATATTTGGATTCAGGAGGTAAAAAACTATAAAGTAAGATATCAAAATTAAAAATTCGTTTGGAGGCACCTGTACGGAATAATTACCATAATAATATTCTGCATAAGTACCAATCAAACATATTTTGTAAAATGGCGATTGCCGTATGTACGAATAAATAAATAAATAAATAACTAAATAAACAAATAACTTATTTTTTCTTGGTTGGGTACTTTTTTAATTTATTTTTCCTCCAAAATTTATATAGGCCTAGGCCTAAAAAAATATTGCGTTTGTTTGCCCCAAAAATAGTGTCTGGGGAACGGAGTAAGTTAACTTAAGTGTCTTAATAATTTAGTGCATTAGCCTACTGATCAAGTCAATGACTAGGAAGTGTGGAAGGAACTAATATTATAGAAATGAATGTTTGGAGTGTGTCAATAACGTGAAAACTACTTGACGAATTGAGCAGATTTTTTTCCATAAATAGAGCCAATATACTTAACTACAGGCTTTGGCTAATTGAGATAGACATCTTTAATTTTAATTGGTACTCTCCTAGGGCTCTACTAGCTTATTAAGTCCAATGTTGTTCTTCGAAGTAACCTTGAAAAGCCACTCGAAATGCCACCCAACCCGGTACGGCAATTAATATTTTTATTAGGTAATACTTAAGAAGTCAAACAGGGGCGAATTTCACAGGTAACAGCTATTGTGTGATCTTTAAAGTTAGGGCCTAGGCCTATTTTTGAAAATCTTGCATCCCAGACTTAGCTACCTAATACTAAATGGTATTTTAATTTGAGTTGCTAAATTCCTACATAAATATTATTTTAGCTATTTTAGATGAATTTAGCCTAAATACAATAAAAGGCCTTGAATAAATTCCCTAATATTTTTCATTTCCAGTTGAAGGTGGCCACAGAGCTATAATTTTCAATAGGATTGGTGGAGTCCAAAACGACATCTACACTGAGGGTCTGCACTTTAGAATTCCATGGTTCCAATATCCAATAATTTATGACATTAGGTAAGTTGACATTAAGTAATTAATAAACAAGCACCCTCCTTGTTACTGTGAAGCCTTCAGCCTAAGTAGCTCTAGGTGAAGACTAGGTTAAGTCGCTTGGGCCAAAGCAACTCACCCGGTAAGGGGTCATTGCGAGTTTGAATCCCGCCTGAGGCTCCTAGGGAGTTAATGTCTGAGCACAGGCATTATTATATTGGCATTCTCGAGATAGGCTCCTGGCACAAGCTGCCAGGAAAATCAAGAAAGTCTCCAGTGTGGCAAGGCAAGCCTATGCCTTTAAAAGGGAGGATATGATTTTATATGTTCTAGTGCACTACGGTAACACCAAACAACAGTTTTTATTTTTTGGAATGAGAAAACAAAGCTTAGCCATTAGGCGTTTTTAGTTTTGCATTATTTTAGTGTACGCCTTGCATTGCAAGCCTTTTCCCCTCATTTTTTTACTAGGTTAACTTTAAAAATGTGAGTTATGGCATATATAATTTTAAAGGGAAAATTCTGAAGATTTAAAATAGGTACCTGGGTGTCTAGTAGTCGGGAAAATGGAAAAGTCAAAAGTTGAATTTCCAAATGGTCTTAAAGTCGGGAATTTTCCATGATTTTGCAGCGATCACACTAGACAACGATCACGTTTCCGTGACTGTGCAAGATGACAATCATGTTTCCGTGACCGCGATAGAGCATGATGATGTCTACATGATGGGAGATGTTCATGATTAATCCGCAATAGCGCTAGTCGACGATAACGTTTTCGTGACCGCAGGAAAAATTATCATAATTTTGCGTGGTCGCATAAGACGATGATGTTTACACAGCCGCGGAGGATGTTCACAATTTTGTTGTGATTGTGGACGACGATGTTGACGTAACCGTGACCGTGGGAGTCAATGATGATGTCCACACTGCCGCGGGAAATGTTCATAATTATGTAGTGATTGCAGACGACGATAATGCCATTTTCAAAACCGCGGGAGACGACGATGACGTTTCCGTGACCAAGGACGACGACGATAATGTCTACACGGCCACGGCAGTCAATAATGAATGTCTTCACAGCTGCGGTAGATTTTCATGATTTTTCCGCAATCGCGGACGACGACGATGACGTTTCCTTGTCCCCGGCAGTCAACATAACTTGTCACAGGAACCCATCTTGTTCAAACATATTTTTTTATTTAAAAACTAGCTGGCCCGACAGATGTCGTCCTGTCCTAATGTGGCTGGCCCGACAGATGTCGTCCTGTCCTAATGTGGTTTTATGTCAAATGCACGTTCATTTTCAAGATTAGCTCGTTCGCATCACTCAATCATGTCCTGGTTGAAGTTTGTTCGCTACGCTCACTCGCCTCCAGGTTTTAGTTAAAAATTAACACATGTTATTGTATCCTACAGCTTAATAAAAACATTATCCTCCAATGCTAATGTAAAGGTAATAAAAAAAAATTAAAATCTAACGGTTGAATGGATTAGGCCATAAATATCCTTACATAAAAACCTTCCCCAAGCACTAAGGAACACGACAAAAAAAGAATTATGCAAATCGGTGCTCTCGTTCTCGAGTTATGGAATGCTGCACCATCTAAAAAAGGGATTAATTTTTATTTAAGTACATGAGCTGGAAAGTCCTGATTTTCATCATTGACTATTTAATAACCAATAAGGTACTTGATTAGTAGATTGACCTTTGTACATGTTTATCCCTCAGGTCTAGGCCAAGGAAGATATCGTCACCCACTGGTTCCAAAGATCTGCAGATGGTTTCCATCGGACTGAGAGTGCTGTCACGACCCAACGCAACCAAGCTCCCTGACATGTACAGACAGTTGGGTTTAGACTATGATGAGAAAGTGCTGCCTTCCATCTGCAATGAAGTCCTCAAGTCTGTCGTTGCCAAATTTAATGCATCTCAACTCATCACCATGAGACAGCAGGTGAGTTTTATTTTACCAAATCTGTATAACTTATATGGCCTTGGGTTCTGTAGAAATTCCTGCATGATAATATTATAGTCAATTATAGTTTCAACAATATATTTTTATTTTTAGAGAACTTAAGTAGGGCTCAATGTGGTATAAGGCATAGTGATTTGACAAAGCAAGACATTGAAACATTAGAGTAGCCCGTTATTACTTCTAGATAGAATTTTTAAATACAATATTAAGAAGTGTTTGGTTGTAAAAAATCATTCCTCCTAATTGTCCAGGCAAATTAGATCAAATATAGGGTGTGCTCTCCAAAAAATCGTCTAAAGCTGGAAAGTGTTTTAATACCTTTTGGGGGTCCCAAATAAGACTCCTGTGAGTTTGCGACGGATTCTGACGTCTGTTTAAGTTTTGGGAGTCTAAAAACTATGAAAATTTCACACTTTTTTCAGTTTTTTTGCTTATAACTCCTAAATAACCAGTCCTAAGGAAAATGTTGTTCAAAGGTGACTTTTAGTGTAATTAATTTCGCGTCGATTGGTGTTAAATACGTCAAAATCGGCCGAGCTGTCTCTATCTTTTCAAAGCTGGGATATTTGCATCAACATGGCCAAAAGGTTGATTATTTTGCCAGTTTTCGGCTTACAACTTCTAAACGACGCATGCTATACAAAAATGCACCTTTAGTTAGTTTGGAAAACACAAAATTCTGCATATAATTTTTTTTTTATTAATCAATAACGGCAATTGATTGTTACCTACTTTGTATGGTCGCCATTTCATTGAAAAAAGTATTAAAGTTAAAGTTGGAAAATTTTACTAAAATTGGTAACAACATAGATCCTGTCCTTAAATGGATTATGAATTATTAGCTACCGGTAGTGGTTTATTCCATGTGATGGTCATCCAGAGGTTTATCTAAGAAGGTGTGATGAGAGTAAGACCCCCTATGTAATTTTAAGTCTATTATTGTTGTCTGAGGTTCCGAAAATTCTAGGATTCATCCCAACCACATTATATACGATCTATCCCTGTATTCATCTTTCAGTTTTTGGCTTACATCTTCTAACGCATGCTTTAAAATAAAAGGTCCTGTTGTTAGTTTGAAGAGCATAAACGTCTGCGTAGAATGTTTTCCAATTCATCAAGATTGGCTTCACCATTTAACCACTATTGATTGTTAACACTAGATCAGATGCTTGTCAAGTTTAAAATCTTACCATTGAAATCTGGCAAACAACCAGTCTAATTACCAAAAACATAGGGGATATGGCAGTGAATCTATCCACTAGTGTGACGTCATGGATCCTGTAGCATGGCCTATGAACAAGTAAGTGCTCATGAGAGCAACAACTTTCTGTGGAGAGCTTTTCCGAGATAGGAAAATCAATGATGGGGATCTAGCCCGATGGTTCGCTGGCAGGCCCATCGCAGTGAATGCTACCCATCAAATTAAGGGATATTATGGGATCACCTCTTCAACATATTATCAGCAAGTTGTCAATATAAACTCCACGGATACAGTGGGATCAAAAAGAAATTCATCAAATGGTTCCAGTGTCACGACCCATTTACTGAAAATAGTTCGCTCATGTCAATCAGCTCAGCAGTTATCCCATATGATAGCATCAACGCGAGATATGTATAAAGCATAATGAAAAGGCACAGCTTGCAAGAAAATCGTAAATAGGCAAGCCTATAATGACCATAAACTGTGCAGAATAAAAGGATGTGGTGACCTTAATTGCGAGCTGTGATGGCAACAGCAAAGATTAAAGAAGAATCTGCCCCCTCAGTCAGCACGTGATATTCCACATTAAATCCAAGCCTCAATTTGAATCGTACTTTGGATTAAAAATAGGTCCGTACCCACTAGCGCAGTTTGATGAAGAAAGCGTGATGTAGAAGAGTCGAAAATCTAACTATTCATATAGCCTAAAACTACTCATGCTGTTTTTCTCCAATCAATGTAGATCTCACTGTGTTCTGACGGGTTACAACGCTTGGCGAAGTTGCAGAAGCAGGTTGGCCCTATACATGGTTGGGAGCAGAAAATATCCAAATCGTGTGAGGGGTTAGTCTCTTCTAGAAGACACTTTCAACTAATTTTGAATTTGATTCTAACAAAAGGGGATGCTCATCCACCAATCCTTTAGAGCTCATTTAAAAGTGTACTTAATTCAGAGAGATAGGTATGGAAAATGAACGCCAATGGGTTAACTCCCATCACTACGGTTAATCCACCGGTTCGACAAGAACTTCTCAACTCTGTACCTATCTCGTCTATCGTGTACATGTTAAAAAAGAACATTATCTTGCTCCTTTTGAAATGCAGGGATATAATGCACTACTGTCTGAAAGACTTGCAAGGGGCACGAGTATCTCAATTCGATATCTAAAGAAAAATATGGTACCGAATGTCACCATTTGTGGCAAGTCCAATAAGACCAAAGAATGAATCCTTATTCTTAAGATTCCAATGATGAGAAGTAGAAGTATATGGTAAAATCTACAAAAACTCTCAATCGTTTTTTTTAATAGGCTAAATATATAGTAAAACTATGTACATCTGTCCCATTATCATCTTTCGTTTATTAAGCTAAAAATAACATTTTTGCTATATTTAATAAAATCTTTCTCGTTGTAATATCTTATTATATAGTAGAATCGCTTAACACAATTTTGGAGTGTCCAGAGATGAGATCGTATAAATGGGAGCTTAGAACGAATCCTGGAATTTTTGTAACCCCAGATAACAATATTAGATTTAAAATTACATAGAGGGTCTTGCTACCCTTCCCTTCACACATTCTTGGATAAACCTCTGGATGATAAACTCATCCATCTACTCATCCACTAAATCATAATTCTACGCCGAATTTTGTGTTTTCCAAACTACAGGTGCATTTTTGTACAGCATGCGTCGTATAGGAGTTGTAAGCCGAAAACTGGTCAAATAATCAACCTTTTGGCCATGTTGATGTAAATATCCCAACTTTGAAAAGCTACAGCGGCTAAACGGCTTGGCCGATTTTGACGTATTTAATATCAATCGACGTGGAAATTAATGCACTAAAAGTCACCTTTGATCAACATTTTCCTTAGGATTCGTTATTTAAGAGTTATAAGCGGAAAACTGAAAAAAGTGCAACATTTTCATAGTTTTTCGACTCACAAAACTCAAGCAGACGTCAGAATCCGTCGCAAACTCACAGGAGTCTTATTTGGGACCCCCAAAAGGTATTAAAACCCTTTCCATCTTTAGACGATTTTTTGGGGAGCATATGTCTAATTTGCCTGGGCTATAAGCAATTTTCAGGTACCAAAATTTCATAAAATAATAATTTTTCTAAACTTAAGTTTGGAATCGGTACGGTAGATTTTTGGAATAGTGGTAGGTACTCAAGCTATTTATAGGATTGGATTAAAGTATTTTCATAAATTTTTAAAATTTAAATGAAATTTTTAAATGAAATTTCATAAAATTTTTAAATGAAACTTAAGACCTTAACTGATCTGTGTGATGATTTATCAGGGAAGGATGGTTACGCAATCATGGTAGAATCACATCGGCAAATTGTTTTTCAGCACTAAGGTTTTTGATATTTTGTCGTTTTGTGAGCCTACATTATTTAATGTTTCAGGTTTCGCTCAAAGTGAGACAAGAACTGATAGAGAGAGCGCAAGACTTCAACATTATCCTTGATGATGTTTCTATTACTGAATTGAGTTTTGGAAAGGAATACACAGCTGCTGTTGAATCAAAACAGGTAATTTAACCACGTCCAAAAAACAAACAATTTAAAACAAAAATAAAACAAACACTTTTTTGAGGTTCTTTAAACTTGTACACAAAGTCTTTGAATACATGGGCCTATTATAAAATACTTGGACACAAAGTAGGTCCACTAAGTAGTAGAACTACTTGGTGTTTCCCTTACCTAGTGATCAACTCTTTAGACTGACAATGGAAATAATTCACATGAGTATTTCAACCTTTTTAGCCCCACCAATGTTAATGTTACACCCTTTAAAAGTATGCACCAGAGCCACCCAAAGTAATTGGGACTGGACCCTGCTGCTTTTAACAAACTGTTAGAATTAGCCAGAAATTCTGTACAAGTTCATACAAAATTAGACTGTAGATGGCCATATATTGCTTCAAGGTTGAATAAATCTGTGATTATCTATACAGGAATTTTGGCAACACCCGTGATTGGGTTCTTACAACAAAACAACCTTAAAATGGATAACCGCTGATGGTGCTTGGCAATTATTCCAAATTTCCAAAAATCACACGTGCAATTCCCAGTTTTCAAATCGGCTGGAAACCCTTGGGTATTTCAGAAAACTTAGCTGTCCTGATTAGATCATGATTATTCAAATGATCGGATAAGCTGGACTGTGGTGTTCTTAAATCTTTGAAATTATTACACATTTAAATTTCAAGTACTTTCTACGACACAAAACAAATTAAGTTGATATTTTTAGGTAGCTCAACAAGAGGCCCAGAGGGCAGTTTTCGTCGTAGAAAGAGCCAAGCAGGAGAAACAACAGAAAATCTTCCAAGCAGAAGGAGAGGCAGAAGCTGCCAAAATGATATCCTTTCTAATATACCATTCTTTTAGCGATTTTCCCAATAGGGAAGTAGTTATTACCGTAGGTAGCATGGTAAGACCTAGGTCCGGGACCGATTAACTTTTACATTTTGATCTCCCCAGAGGCCAAAGACACCATTAGTCCAAATTAGAGAGAGAGTTATATATGTGTCCGTGACCACGATAACTTGAGTAATATTTGTCCGATTTTGATTAAATTTGGTTTAAAGGTGTAAGGCGGGGTAAACTTGAATGAGTTTGCGAACCAGCATGATTGGACCATGAGGGTTTTATGGAGTAAAAATTTGTTTTTCTCATTTTTGACCCTCAAAACACACAATTTCCCAATTTCTCTCTTGACATTTTTAAAGAGCTTAAAAAAACAAATAATTTAGTATATCAAAGTGTTTTTGTACAGTTATTGCCCTAACGGAGAAAATTCAAAAAGTTTTAAATTTAAATTTCCATACGTTATTCTTATGTAGAATATTGTAAAATATTGTAGTTTGCTTGTTTATAGATATATTTTGAGTTCATATTTCTTATCTAAATTAATTTGGCAAATTTATTCATTTTATACTAAGCTATTAATATTTTACTAAAAAAACACTTTATTAGTTTTCTTGTAGCAGCAAACTTAGGTACTCATTAAACCGACGTTGGTTCCAAGCGTGTGTTTGCATGTGATCCCATTTGTTCCTAGGTTAGGTACTTGACTAACGCACGTTTGTTAAACGCGGCGTCTAACGCCTTCATCAGAACAGGGTGTTACACATATAACATAAATAACACTATTTTAAAATATCTACTAAAGAGAAATTTCCAGCCCAAAAAAAGTTCCCACTCTTACTTAAAAGGATACACCTACAACCTACAGTTTGAGGTGGATCATGTTCTAATTTACCATGGTATTAGCACTTAGCAGAGGGAGAATAGTCTTAGGGATGAACTGTAATAGGTAATAAATTGTGGTGGAAGGAGAGCTGTGTTTTTTTTAGTTGAGCCTAACTATCCTATCTTAGAGCAGAAGTTTATGGGATGTATATTCGGTAGGCTAACTCACCTATTTGGCAGCAAAACTGTGGTTTAATTAACTAAATTAAAGTTTTGCATTATCCGTGTAAGTTGACTTATTCATTCAAGTCCCAAAAGAAAATGTAATTATATTTTGTTGTTAAAATAAAACCTCTTTTCTTTGACGGTTCTTGTATTCTTGTATGTTGTCAGCTATAATGTATTTAAACATTTAAATTTCCCTTAACTCCTATGCACTTGGGTCAGGCGGTCGGCATGAATCCTGGTTATCTCAAGCTGCGAAAGATCAGAGCTGCCCAGAGCATCGCACGAACTGTAAGTAATCAGATTATCGATTACAAATTGTTCACCTTTTAATTTGTTCTTGAATATGAAATGTTCAGTGTTTTAAACTTAACAATTTCCATATTTTTTGGTTTTATGTTAATTTTAATACTGTTAAGGTTGTTAATTAACACTTCTTACACTAGGGCAGTGGCTATATTTTTATCTCCTGGAGGAATAAAATATATTTTCCTACAGTCACCCGACAAAGTTGGCTTCCTTGTACTGTTTATAGTACATAAAGCTGCTAATTGCTGCATATTTATACTTTGTCGTACAGTTTATACTTTGGCGCACATCAGGATTCCAACGAAACAACACAAAACAGCGTGGTTCTATTATGCACGTAATCCGTGTGCGCTTGGAAATAGGTTGGCAACACTTAAAGATAATAATACTATGGCAGCTGATTGAATTATTACTACGATTTAACCTGTCATTTTGTGTTTATAGTTTGTTCTCTTTTTGGTATTTCTGAACTTTCTGGACTTTTCTTTTAAACGTTTTTGAAACATTCCTACGATCTTAATAAACAAGAAAATATCTTTAAAGCATTTTTTAGGCGCGGAAGCCACTGCAAATTACAAAAATATACGGAACTATTTTCTCAAGTCGCGGAGCACATTGCTTGCCGAGGAAAAAATAGCGGAGTGATACGGACCGGGCACTTATTTCTCTAGGGCACCTATTTGTGTTGCCAGCTGAACCTAAAAACGATTTGTATAGTGTTTGAAAGACTAATTATTTATATGCTTTATAGTGACTGTAGGAAAAATATAATGTGTAACATGAGTGCAAAAGGCCTTTGCTGCACTCGAGATCATTCCAAAGTAAACGTTGATCTCGTGTGCAGCAAAGTGCAGTTACACAAATAACTGTTTTCCTACAGTAACCTGACAAAGTGGGCTTCTTTGCACAGATTATAGTACAGAAAGCCTTACTTTGGCACACAGTTTTTACTTTGACGTACACCAGTATTCCAATCAAACAACACAAAACAGCGTGCTTTTATTATGCATGTAATCCGTGTACGCTTGAAAATAAGTTGGCAACACTAAAATATAAGACTACGATCACCTGGTGCAGCGTTTCCCATTTCGTTCCATGTTTGGATTTAACCTAACCTAAAAACGTGTTTTACAATGTTTGAAAGACTAACTAATTATATGATTTATAGTAACTGTAGGACAAATATAATGTGTAACACGAGTGCAAACTGCCTTAGCCCACTAGTTACACAAATAACTGTATTGTGTAGATTACTACACATTTAACATTTAACACTTAAAATTAAGTTTGTTTAACAGCAGGGCTGTGCAAGAGTTTTATTGTTTTGACGGCGTGATATAGTATTCAATATTGACTGTCGAGTCCATTAAGTGCCTCGCTGTTTCTCTGTACGCTAAGCAATCAAGTCAGATAGGAGAACATAATAAATGGATCCATCAATGTAAGGTTTTGTTTACAGATCGCCAACTCTCAGAACAAGGTATACCTCAGTGGTTCCGCCCTCATGCTGAACATCAGTGATCCCGCTTTCGACGACCTCAGTAATAAACTTAAAAGTAAGAAGTAATTTAAACACTATTCTCGTAGTTGTGTAAGTAGCAGTCAGTTATCAGTGCCTACAGTGAAACAGTGAACTGAAATTCCTTTGTTATTCACTCCTGATATCAAAGTCTGTTATCGGCCCTGTGCCATTGCGGGAGAGGTTCTGATTGAGTAATAATTATGTTGTTAGGGAAGTGTGATGTTCAATTTGTTTTATTTTGTTATGTACCCTCTGTTTATTGCATTTCATTTTCATAAGCTGCTGGTAGTTTGACAGAAATTTATATGAAGTTGTTAATAAACTGTATAATTCAATCACTGTTTTAATTTATGTAGCTGCTCCTTATTCCAGTTCCAATGCATGTGTAATTTTATTGATTTAATTTTGACTCTCTATGTTAAAAATGTGTAAAAGTAACATTGTAAAACTAAAAATATGTGATGTCCTAAATTATCAACCAAATGTGTATAAGTTGATCAATTTTGGATCAATTAAACTTTCAAGTTTTTGTAAATGTTTATCTATGCCTTACTCTGTACACTAGGTCTATATATTTTACAAAAAATATTTTAAAAAAGTAAAGTCTCCTTGAATCAAATTTATTTGTATTTACTAAAATTAATTCAGCCCACCTAATGCTGAGCTATAAGGAATACTTCCCCTTTTTCATTCGTTTGTTTGAAATACTTTTAGGATTGGTTCAGATTCGATATATTTTATAAAAATCATTAAGGCCTAAGTTTGTTGATGTGCCGAAATAAGACTTTTTCAATTAGAGCCACATTATGAATTTTAGGCAGGATACTACTAGGGGTCTGCAGGTTCCCAAAATTCTTAGGTTGGAACAGGCTAGCAGTTGATTAACAATGTTATTCTTGTTTTGTTGGATACTCATCACTAAATTAAAATTACCTGTATACACAATTTACAAAAAAAAAAAGGAAAAAAAGTTGACTAACAGTCAACGCCCAAGTGAACCAGAAATAATTTTTGGGCTAAGCTCATGTCGTCTCATATATATTACAAAAGTGTAAGCTGCTTGATTTTAGATTGCAGCACATGTTCAATGATTGCATGGTCAAAAATTCATGATTTTACCACAACCACAGTAATAACCCATGATTTTGCCACGACCACGAGAGATGTTCCTGATTTTTTCCCAACCACGGAAAATTGTTATGTACATTAGGCCTATTATTTACAATATTTTTATTTAAAAAAATATATTTTCATCATACTGTCCGGAAAGCAGCCATTTTTAATTCTCTGAATCGACAGCAAAATCATCGTTTTGGGATAACTTCAAATAGGAAACAAAAAAAGTTATTGTACATTTTCGGTTTGCTAACCTAAAAATTGTTTCAGTGCATTATGAAACCTCTACTAATCACAGGATATCTAAAGATATATTTGTAAAAAACAGAAATTTAAACATTTATGATGACTTTGTATGACCTAAAATAATGTGGTCTAATTTTGGAATGATTAGAAGGTTATTTACACACCATGATGAAAATAGATCTTAATGCAGTGACAACTATACTCTCTATTTTAAAAGAATGGTTTTGATTAAATTTATCAATTTCTCCTGTGTGCATATTGTAAACTAATGTTATTTTGTTTACCATGTAAAGCCCATTAACATCTCAAATCTATTTTGAAATTGTACAATTTCAAACACTGTTAGGTTTGTTGAAATGGAGACCTAGGCTGACACTAGGTATAAAATTAACCAGGCGTAGTTTTTATAAGGAATAATACTTGGCTTGGGAACAAAGACAGAACAGATTGAAAAGTTGTTGGACTGATCTTTAGTTTTTCCATTAGTACAGAAGAAATGGATACACAACTATCTTCCATTAAACAAAAGACTTGAGGGTTTTGCAGGCAACTTAAAGCTCACAATTAATTTAATGTTTTACCCCTCTTTGGGGGCTTTCAAGAAGAAATTTTTTGAAAGTATTCAAAACAAATGTTTTAAAATAAGTTGTAAGTATTTTTCCGAGGATTTTAAACTTGGTTTCCATCACTTCAGGTAATGTTTTAAGCATAACAAATTGTTATAAACTGAGACTTAATTTATCCTAGAATATTAAATGTTTTAAAATACTATAACATTAAACAAATATACATATATTGAGTAAATTCTGCTAACCAAATTGTTAAGATCGTAAATGGAGGTGAGTTTGGTTTCCAGGCCCTCGATCAAGCTATTCTCAGCACAATTCTGGTCCTGACTCGGAGGAGACAGTCGCAGACACCGTACAACAAACTGCCGCTCAAATTGTCAACAGTCGCTCTTAACTTTAGGCTTTTTACAATCTTAGACGCATTTCTTAACACTAACTTATCAGAGGATAACAGTTCAATTGAATTGAAGAGCTTATCATTACTGTAAATTGGTAACCATTTTGACATTATCCAGATATACGCCAACATCACTGTGGATATTTTACGTATAGGTCCTAACCTATTTGATTTATTGGCTTTTTCATGATGGAATAGCCTCTGGATCGTCTGAATGAATTAATACAGGTTTAGATTACCTGTTTGCTGTCAAAACAATACTTGATGGTAGTACGATGACTACAGCTGTTTCCTGCTTTTTAAAGAAAGTACGAAACAGCTGTAGTCGTCGTACTACCATCAAAGATCATTTTGACAGCAAACGGGTAATCTAAACCTATTTTAGTATTGGTATTTTATCTGTACCATTCTAGATCAAGTAATATAAATTTTTATCTTTTTGGTTTAGCTTATTTGCCATATTTTTGTTTTGCTGAAAGCAGCTTTAGTGGATGTTATTCTCCCCTTTAAGCTATAACCCCCTTGTGTGTTATATTTTAAATAATTAAGTACTTCTCACAATTCTATCTTACTTCCACTCTCTACCTAAATTATCTACTATCAATATTTTCAATGCCTTTCCAAATATTTTATTCAAATTTCCACAGTTTTATCTCTTTAACACTTGACCTTAATCTTTCAGCTTTCTTCTTTTATATGTTCTCAAAAGTTTTTAACAATCTTTTTGACCTATGAAGTTCAACTTCATAAACATATTTCTACCCAAAGCTTTTAATTTATTAATTACTGATTCATTTGTTTTATTGTTGCCAAAGCTAGAAGTGAATGTGGTTAGCTTTAATTTAATAAATCTTAGCATATCAGTGCTTTGCAAATAAAGTGGTGTAATGGCAGTAATTTAAAAATTCTGTATGACCAAAAAACAGTACTAGTTGTAACTTAAAAGAGATTTGTGTTTTGTGGTGTATGAGTCGACGTATTTAGTGAATGAATTATGAAACAATAAGAATTGTAATGCTAGAAATAATATATATGTGTACCAAAGTCATGTTTTGACATTAAAATTATTTACAAAATGTATCTCCTCGTTGAATGTTGGACCTTTAAATTCCTACTTTTGTTGGATACATAATTTTGTTGTTGAAAATATCTTATTTAATCGTTCTCTCTGATGTGTGTTTCTTTGTTTTACTTTGATTAAAGAATTGGTTAAAAAGTCAACATAACATCAACACATTATTACTGTGAGTGAACATATAAAAATAAGAAAAAGTCCAGTTGTAATATTCATATATAGTTGGATTGGAGGGAGAGTTGCCCAACGTCCAAATGTCACTACGTCCAATGATATAAGTCAGTGTCATGACGTCCAAAATATAGTTTTTGAGCTGTTTCACGACGTCCAATATAATTTATTTGACTGTTGCACAACGTCCAAATCTCACAATGTCCAAAAGTACATTTACTGCAAGAAACATAGTCTTTCTACAAGCTTTGGACGTCATGGGATTGGTCGGTGTGCAATAGGGCACTTTATACTCTTAAAAACTTAGCAGTAGCACCATGTCTAAAGCCGCTGCCAGTTGCACAACGTCCAATGGCTCAGTGCTAGCTGCTGCACGACGTCCAGAGCTCCTGCATATGGAGTAAGGTTGTATTAGGTTAAGTTAGGTTAGGTTAGTATGTATTACAGGACGGTGAAACAGTACTCACAGTGTGCAGGCACACTGGACGGAGAGGGACAGCGCTGTGCTATTGGACATCGTGCAACTGCTACTTTCATTTTATATTGTAAGTCGTGAAACAGCTCAAAATTTATATTTTGGACGTCGTGCAATGCATATCCTGGTTGGAAAACCCGTAGAGCATGAAGATAGAGTTATTCATATACCCACTATAAACTCATACTTTATAGGTGGCTCCAATGGCATTACAGAAGAAGAGAGAAAAACAGTTTTGTCTGAATATATCCGACTCTTACAATCACAAGGTTTTTTTTTTTTTTTGCAATCGTAGTATAATTTGTATTTTTCACTCTGTATAACCACTCTGAGCCACACTCTTTTTTACACTTCTAAAAAGTCAGCTAGAAAAGTGAAACTAAAGTTTTGTGTCTCTTTCCATTACAAAATGGTGGATGTTTAAGCATTGTTTAAATGACTTAAGTATTTTTTATTCCAAACAGAAAGCACGGTCCTTTTTTTTAAAGCTCATTTTTAATGATGGTGAGTTTGTTATTTAAAATATTACTGGGGGCTTGAACAAAACTTTTCTCATTTCGATGAAATTTGGTATGTGGGGTCTAATCCATAGTATCTATCTAGGCGTTTTGAAACGTTAATTGTTAAGGGGCATTTTTTTATTTAAGAACCATAAAATAACAGAAAATGGGATCCACACGAAAACTGTTTTAACGATTTTGATTAAAATTTACTGTGTTATTGTTCTCTTAAGCCTGAACAAACTTGCAGAACCCCCTGTAAAGTTAACGGTTCAAAGTTTAATGCAATTTTTGTAATTTTCCCCATAAAAAATCACAGTCACTCCCCTTAACCCATCATAATATACTGTTTCACCCTTATTATAATGGAGTAGGATGTTCAATTTTTTTGTCAGGATAATGGGAGGTAGTATGTGTTTGCAATGAATACAAACCCTTTAAGAAGCGCAATGCCATTGTTAAAAATTCAGTCTGGGAACATTTTAATTTTGGATAGTTCCCTCGGCGATCGCTAGGTAGACTATCGCGGGTGCGGCCAAGTCAGCTGACTGAGTGAGAGAGTGAGACAAGGATCTGCTTTGAGAGAGATATAGTAGCACGGCCGCATGAAGCTCAATTCAAGTGGCAAAATTCCAGTCTAACTATTCTTTTTAAGAATTTCACTTCTTAAAGGGTTTTTTATTCATTGGTGTTAGTTTGCTGACACTGTTTATTTCATTTTTATTTGTAGTAAGTAGCTGCTCAATTGTTTCATGTAATTTGCCTTTGTGTGCCCAGTTAAGCTTACTTTTGGGATTTTCCGAGAGGTAAAATTGATATTTTATTTGGATTAGTATGGAAATCATACAAAACAATTTTTTTAAGGTTTCATAATCATTCAATCCTAAAATATTGTAACTCTGGCAAAATAAGAACACTTAATTTACTTAACTATTACTGTTAGTTAACTTGTTAAAATAAAACTTGTTTCAGGTAAATTTGTCTAAAGATAGCTTTCTGGTCCTGAACGAAGTACCCATAACTATCAATGAGTAATATAGTGACAAAAAACCAATTCATGAAGAACTACGACAGCTGTTAAATGCTACAATGCCACATTAGTGCTCAAAATGTTTTAATTTTAAATCAATAAATGATTGATGAACACGTTTGTTTTGTTATTAAAAAATGTATGAATGTGTTTCAAAACAATGTAGCACTTTATACAATATTTTGTAAAATCTCATTTTTCAATGATAATTTTTAAACAGAGGCTACCAAGATAAATTATACGCTCAATTTTGTATCTAAGATAACAACTAAATGATAATATCTCGACCCATAAATTAAGTACACTTAATTAAAAATGCTATTTTTCCTATAATAATTTCAACATCTTCACTTCTCGAAAGTGATATTAAAAGTAGCTTGGAGAAGATTTTCATACTTTGGACCAAAATTATACATTGACCGTGTGTCAGCTTTTAAATCTTGGCTGTGTATTGTACAAATGTGTATTGTATATAATTGTAAAGAATTAATCTATTATTTGTGAATGGATTGATGGTAACCTATTTCATCACAAAGGTTAATGGCGAAACAAGTCACTGTTACCATATCGCTAAGATGGCGTAACTTTTCCATCTACTTAACTTTGATCATAAACAATAACTCATCCCCTAGTTATGCAACCAAACAGTAAAGCGCAAATTATTAAATTATAAAGTAATAGAAACAAAATTTTATCATCATTAGCGATAAGTGTCTCCAACTTGAACTAGACACGAAAAGCGAGCTTCAAAATGTAAAATAAGATGAGAAGACTATTTGTGTTGGTTAGTCTATGATAGTACCAAAAGCCAAAGGAGGAAATCAAGTTTTGATATAAGCACACTCTGGGTGGCTCATTCATCTGTTTTATATTTAAATAAAAAGCTGCTACAGCTGGTCCATATAGACTCCTGATGTCTACTTCAGTCTCCAAATTCAATAGTAATATTTTCCAGCTTTATTTGCAAAATTAAAATCACATGTTTTTAAACAAACAAAACAGATAATTTAAATGTGCCAATATTTATAACCAAAAATGATCAGAACTGGTTCAGAAAGTGATTTCTTTGGTGTTCAGCAATACTGTAACTATCCAGAAGTTTCGAAAAATTTCAAAACCTGTTTACTGTCGGATGAAGATGATCAGAGCTTTGACAGTTCGAGTGGGCTTCCAAGTTGCACTTTGGATGTTTCTGACACCCAAAGTCAACAGAGAGTGTCTCGTACTCGAGATGTTTCTCCGTCGCTTGGGAACTTTCTCAAACTGTCCCTAACATCGGAAGAGGATGAAGATACAACAGATGTAAGCATTTATCAAATATTATGTTTTTTTTTCAACCATCCAACTTAAATTTCAACATTTGTACTTGGTTATCTAAGAATTACCCTCGGTAGGTAGGTACTTGAAATCCATATTCAGACTAATAATTATGTTATTAATTTAAAAATTACAAACATAAAAACCAGGTTTATTAGTTTAAATTAACAAAAGTTGTATGTGTATCCTCTTGTTGCTATTTCTCTCTTATTTGTTCGACTGTCATTGATTATTGGGCTTTTAATAAAATGGTCCTCGTTAAAGAAACAGCTGATATTGGTCAGTAACAAAGCCATCATCTCAATTATTCAAAATACTCATCCTTCACATGTCTTACCTTAAATATGGGATGTTTATTTGATTATTTTGCAAAATGTATCTGTCTAATTGCAAATTCAGCCTTTTCAGTCAATTTTAACAGGTTGAGGACGATTCACATGATTCCATAGATCAGGTCTCCAACAAAGAAGAAAATGTTGATGAAGAATATCAGCCGATGCTTCAAAAGTATTTTGGAGACAAAACAAATTTAGACCCAGAAGGATGGATTAAGTATGCTTCAGATTCAGATCCTTGGAATGAAAATTTGTATTCACAATTTGCTGATGAAAATGGTGCTTTACGATATGGTATTTTAACACTTGAGGAGATTTCTAAGCGCTCAAGCAATCTTATTCAACTTCCTGACAACAAAGCATTTGTTTTCTCCAGACTTCATATAAATAAAATGGTAAATATGATAACTACCGATCCTGCACTTTCTTTCCTTAAAGTTGAATGGAACTTTCTTTACACATCAATAAAAAAATTATATTACTATAATATGTTATTATTAGTATACATTTCAGTTTGACCAAACAGACTTACAGGACCAGCCATTAAAAAGTAGAAAAAGAAAAATCAATATTAATTCCAACACTTTATAACTTGTAATTGCACCTTAGTAATATGCCAAATCAAGATACATTCGGCCATTTAAACATTCAACAGTTACATTTCATAAATCAATTTCAAATAAACTAAATACAGTTTTTTGCTTACTTTGATAGCAAGAGTAGAAAAATTTATTCCTATGGAAGACATTTTCCTCTTAAACTTGGCGACTTAAAATTATTGGTTACAACTTAAACATACTTCATGTTAAAAAAATAAACTCTAAAAATATTTAAACTTAGATTTTAAAAATAACTGAGATACCTACCTGTACTTAACCTCATTCTGCCCATCCACAATTGGAATATCCAAATTTGGTTACAGAATCACTTAGATGTATCGGTACCGGTACTTAACAGAATTTTAACAACTTCATCTACATTTTTAATGCTGTTTCAGGACCTAGAAGACATATCTGTCATGTCAAACTGCAGATACTTTCTCTACATTGACATGTCTCATAATTTAATCAGTGACCTCAACGGATTAAATCATTGTAACTATCTTATGTATCTGAATGCATCTCACAACAAGATCAAGAAAGTGTTGGATTTTCAACCCCCTTGGTTCTTAACTCATGTAAATCTTTGCTGTAATGAGATTAAGGAAATCGGAACGGGAAATATTTCAGCCTTTTGGTCCCTGAAACATCTTGATCTTTCATATAATTTAATTGAGAAAATTGAAGGACTAGAGGGCTTGAGGTGAGATCCCTTTGAACACTAGTGAATATTAGTTAATCCAATTACACATGTAGTGACGTTTTTTGCACACAATAGACAAGTATCTTTATTAGCAATTTATTCAAGAAATGCATTAGCGTCAAAATCCAAAAATATAAAATTGTTCTTACTTTAAAATAATTATTTAGGTAGTTTTATTTTCCATCATCTTCTTATGTCATAACATTCCTTGGTTGTGTACACTAGTTGATTTATGAGTCATGAGCCAGTTCCCAAGTTCCTTTTTCAATTTTATTCATGTACAGTGGGGGGAATTTCAAATTTTGCAGCCAATATACAATGTACAATGTTTTCTAAGTGTGGTGTGGTGGATGCGAAGATCGTAATTCTCAAACTCTAGTATGGTGGTATTTTGGAAATCCTGATTCCTAGGAAGATTTAGCTTGCTTGTGTAAATTGCTAGTTAATGGACATAGAGTGCTGGAACTGTTAAAATCTTGAGGGATTGAAGGCTTCTCTACAAATTTCTGAGGAGGCAAAGCCAGAAAGTATCCTGACAGCCTTCTTCTGAGCCAACAGGATTGGCCATGGTTCCCTGGTGCAGCATATCATGTCTTACTAAGTTTTCAGCCATTTTGTTGAACTATCCTTGCATACAAAGCTGCAATTGAAGGATTTGTTACTCACGTAACAGAACTGGGGGTTAAAAAGTTTATTGTCTTTCCTTCCTGCTGAAATTATTAAAAGTCAACACGAATGCAATTTGTAAAGAGGCGTTGAAATCATTTAAAGATATAAACTCTAGAGTTTACTATAAAATTATTGAGAATGTAAAACGTAAAACCTAAGCTGTAGATATGTTATTGTGTTTTACAGTTGGATTGTTGTAAAAAAATATACTGGACTCTATAAATTAGATTGTGTTTTAGATATTTGCAGCACCTCAACCTATCGCACAACTACATTCAACAAGTAGAAAACCCCCACTGTCACAGTCTGCAAGAGCTTAACCTGTCTTATAACCGAATAACAGGTATTGACAATGAAGACAAATGTGTGGAAACTTTGGAAAACCTGAGAGAACTCAATCTTGCACACAACAATTTGTCATCATTACATAATTTGGAGGTATAATTGAATTAATTATACACCATGTTTTTAGACTACCAAATATTCAGCTACATAGACTTAAGTTTCAAATACAAAATAATATTTTACTGGAATGAATATACATTACCGCCACCTTAATAACTCCACAGACATTACTTTAAATTTACCATTTTCAATCTCTCGGGTGTGCTGATATAAAACTCTTTGGGTGTTTTCCTGTGTTCCTTTCTTCCCCGTCCCCTAAGTAAAAACTCTTCTGCTGTAGAGGATTTCCTTTTAACATTAAGTCCTTTTTTATGGTGTTTTTTCATTCTAACTCCTATGTTTCCACCAATCTTTCTCATGCTAGGAAAATCAAAGACAATTTTCTATTTTCCTTCCACCCAATAATTTATTTGAATGTTTTGTTTGAGTTCAAGTTTTTCAGAGGAAGACCAAAGCGGTTTCATGGCAAAAATAAATTCCCTTGATTCTTCATGGTTCCTTCAGTCCTGACTTTTCAAACTCTTATCAACAACAATGAGCAACCCTGTTGCAGTAAATAAACCTTTGTTTGTCGGAAGGATTTTAAAATGGACCTTTCCTATGTCTTATTAATTATTTATTCTTCTGCAGCCCTTGAATTTCAATCTGACACAAACTGGAGTAATTTAACTATAAGGAAATAAACCTTCCAAAGTGAACATAAGACTAAATTATATTTTTTTCAGAACTTAAAGTCTTTGAAGAGCCTGAATGTCAGTGAGAATAAGATAACAGACTTTAATGAAATATATAAACTTGATGGATTAAAGAAGCTCAGAGAGATAAAGATGACAGGCAATAGTGTATGTGCAAGACAAGGATACAGGGAGTTCCTGATATTTAAACTGTCTTCCTTAGAAGTACTTGATTCTGTTCCTGTTAATTTCCAAGAGAGAGTGAGTGTTTTGATTCCCTTAGACTCTTTAAGTTATACAATGGTCCTAGAATATCTACACTTTATGATACGTGGTAAATAAACAAAAGAAGGCCTATTGAAATATTTTGGTTTTTGTTTTCTTGTCTAGGTAGCTTCAAGAATGCTTTGGGAACCAGATGTATTTACAAGAAAAACTCATTTACGTGCTAAATTAGAACTATGGAATCAGTTAGCGACACAAACAGTAGATATAACCACGACTCCGTATAATGACCCGCCAATTTCCTTGGTTGCTTTGGTTGGAACCTTTGGAAGCAACAAAAAAGATATTGCAAAGAGTTTAGAAATGAAATTTCCAGACCAGGTTGGTATGATGTAAGAAACCGTTTGTTCTGATTTTGTTAAGGTCAATTATGTTCAATTTTTACCTTCAACTTCTTGCTTGGTATTATTTAAGCCCATGCAGTGAACCATGAGATGAGAACATTTCTTACGGACAGTTTCATATAGTACTAGAAGGAGTTATGAAACTAGTCCAGTTGGAAAACATTTTTCATTCCTGTATTAAACCATAGACAAATAGAGTAAATATAGACTGTCAAAGGAAGGTTCCGCGATGTGCTGCTAGAGCATGTTCAGTGTTTGTCGATTCTCTGCCATCGCCGACTCACCGTCTGCTACCAGCACTACCGCCCTTGCAAACAAAATGCTACCAACGTATCTGACCCACTTTTAAATATGGGTAAAGTAAAAAAATCTGAAATCCGTAATTTTAACAGAAGAGCCCAAAGAAAAAAACGCCTGTGTGGCCGCAGCCTAAAAGTAGACTTATAAAAACGTTTTCAGTCCCTACCGTATTTTAATTCGAGTTACTGTATAGCAACACATGTTAAGTTCTATATTTTACATTTCAGCTTTATAGATGTGAACAAATTACAAACATACCTATACAAAACGATGATGATTACAAGTCAGTTTCAATGGACTGTTTTAATAATTTGATCAAGGATGGTAAACTTTTATTCTACTACAAAGAAATCGGAGGTTTATTCGGAGTGGGTAAGTTAAGACTTTTGCATTATACATTTTTTAAAGTTTAAGCTATTCTTTATGAATCACTTAATATAGCAAACAAAACACAGCACAATAAAATATACATACAGTAGAACTTCAACTATCCAAATCTCCGATTATCTGAATCGCTAACAGAAAGAAAAAAAATTTAAACCACAATTAATGAGAATTGTTATTAAAGAAGGCAGAAGCCGTGATCGCGGTAAAATCCAAAACCTCCCCTTCGTTGTGTACACATAATCATCGTCTCCTGCAGTCACGGATATATCATCAACATTTTTCATGAATGCGGTTGATCGTTAAATATATCCCACAGTCGTGTAGACATTGTACGCTGGCTTATCTAAGACTTGAACAACTTTTTTTTATGATCGTCTCCTAATGTCATTCAAACATTGTTATCTTTTTGTGTGATCGCAGCAAAATTATAAGCGTCTATCATTAACTATATACCATATCATGGTAAATAGTCATATATTTACAGTATATAGTCGATGGTTCTATAAAGTCCAACAGTAGATAATGGTCTGCGATCTCCTCAGTCTGCCCACACTTCAAGGTGAAACCACTTTTAGATTTTCAAGCAGTGCAGAGGCTTCCTCTAGTGATCATGATGTGGCAATCCTTACGACTGGTTTTAAATGCTTTCTGTTTAACCTTAGAACTTTTGAGGTTTATTAGTTAGAATAACCATGTATATGTTTTCTAGGTATCGACGAGCTCAGCAAATGCATAGCTGAAAATAAAATAGGAATAATAGAAACAACACTGGAAGGAGCTCTGGTTCTGAGACACACAGCTTGTCATCCACACTTGGTCTTGTGTGTGGCAGAGGATACGAATAGTTACAAGGAGAAACTAAACACATTTTTCACTGAATCAAATCTGTGGAACAGGTTTAACTCATCCTTAAATAAATGTTTTGTTGGTTAGTATACTATATTATGTGAGAAATTCAGTGATGAAAATTGAAAACTTTGAAATAGCCTCTCTTTATACAACAAGTAATCTTGCATTACCAAAATTTTCAAAATATTTTAGTTTGCTGTCTCTAACAACTAATAAAATTGTACTTTATTAAATTTTGTTCAACTAAAAAGTTTCAAAAAACTGATTGGAGTATTTGTTTGTCTTTATACAACAAGTAATCTTGCATTACCAAAATTTTCAAAATATTTTATTTTGCTGTCTCTAACAACTAATAAAATTGTACTTTATTAAATTTTGTACAACTAAAAAGGTTTCAAAAAACTGATTGGAGTATTGTTTAGGAAAGGGGGAGGGAATGGTTTGGAGAGTTCTGATACCTACCACTGCTTTTTATCAGTACAGTCCACCCTTTTACACTTGTCAGCTCACCCCTTGCTCTGCAGGGGCGATGTCTACTTGTACCGGCGTCTAGTTGTACCTGCTGCATTTTGGTGACAGGCGTCTAGTTGTACCTCGTCCAAAGCTGTAGGTACAACTTGACGATGGTGCGGACGTCTAGTTGTACCTACGTCTAGTTGTCTCTACGTCTAGTTGTACCTCTTAAAAATCTACAGGTACAACTAGTCGCGTACGCCACCGTCTACTTGTACCTCATACGTCTGCGTCTACTTGTACCTACGACTACTTGTACCTACGACTACTTGTACCTACGACTACTTGTACCTACGACTATTTGTACCTACGACTAGTTGTACCTACGCCTACTTGTACCTACGCCTACTTGTACCTACGTTTAGTTGTACCTACGGCTAGTTGTATCTCCCCTTCAACTTGTCACCAGTTTAAGGGATTTATTTTATTTCTTTAAAAATCATACAATCTTACAACAATTTTTTATAAACAACTTGCTACAAAAGCCAGGAAAATTTGGCTTGTCTGCAGCTCATTGAGAAACCCCTGTTCTTGATAACAATGTAGGCCTACTTGTGTCCCTTGATCAGTGCTTATCTATATTACACTTTGGTTTTCCTTATTTCTTGTCAAGATCTGCTATCATTGTTTTTTCCACTTAAACTCTACCTTTCTATAGAAAACTAACATTAACTAGCTTAAACAACAACTTTAAACAATTATTTTAAATAAATAAATTCAGAGTTTACAAAAACAAGTAATTTAGTATAATGAAGTGTTTTTGTATGGTATTAGTCACGGAGATGACTAATAAGTCATTAGATATCTCTGGCACAATTTTGATATATTACAGATATATTACGGCACAATTTTGTCGTGTTTGAACAAGTTCAAATTAAAAATGTATATGTTATTCTTATGGATATTACGTAAACTGGCGTAGTTTGGTTGTTGATGCATATACTTATACTTTGACAAATTAGTTTATTTCACACTTAACTACTAACTTTTCTCAAAAACACATCTTAATTACCTTCTACGCAAACGTAATTAAAGCTCAGTATTGAAATACCATTAAAAAAATAACCCAGATATGACTTTTTTGCGCGCGCTTATAAGTTCTTAGTAAAACTTATCTTGGTTTAGTTGCAGACTACATAGCCAGTGTACACATACCTAGCTCAGTATAAAATGTAGTTTATATCGTTTAAATGTAATGAAGAAATATATAAAAAGAACAAAATAATATGAATGTAAACAATAATTTACATACAATTGAATTTAACAAGAACATGTATTCAAAGGGAAAAATATACCAAAATGGAAATTAAAATTCAGTTAAGTTTAATCACTACGAGCTGTTGGCCCGTCCTACGTACGGGAATCGAGCAGTCCATTAAAACTATATATAGTTATGTCTATTTCTAATTCAAGCTTAGTGTAAGCAGTTCAAAATTTATTGTAAAGAAAAAGCTGCCAATATTAATTAAAACTTGTGATAGTTGTTACTTTCCCAACCTTTCCTCAAAAAGTCGAGTAGTAAAAGATTTTACTACAGATCGGACGCCAGACAACTAACATTCGATAGAGTTTTCAACCACTGGACCTCAACTTCATTGTACACTTCATTGTTCATTGTTCACTGGGAAATCCATTGTAAACTATAAGAAATGCACACTATAATCAATGCAAATACTTTGGGGTTATGTGAACAAATATTTAAAGGAATCAGCAAAAATAGTAATACATAATTGCTAGGCAGCGGTCCATTGCAATTCATTAAGGACTTGCTGGCCCGACAGACGTCGTCCTGTCCTATTGTGGTTTTATGTCACATGCTCATTCATTTTCAAGATGAGCTCGTTCGCATGGCTCAATCACGTCCTGGTTGAAGTTCGTTCGCTACGCTCACTCACCTTTAGGTTGGAGCTCGTTCGCTACGCTCACTTGCCTTCAGGTTAGCTCGTTCGCTACGCTAACTCGCCTCCAGGTTTTGGTTGCAAATTAACTGTTCTCATAAATTAAAAATAAATATAGTGCTGCACCCTGTTGGTAAACCTATTAACTTTTTAATGCTATTGAACATCACAGAATCAAATTGTTTAGTTGCACCAGCTGTTAAGATTCTTTAATTCCATTTAAATATGAGTACTCATAAGGTTAACATGGAAAACTCCAGAGCCACTGGGGCGGAGCCCTATTGACGGATCTGCACCAGACTTCTCACAAACCATCCTTGAATAATGCTTAATAACGCCTGAAAGTTCCATTACAATCTGTCGAGCGGTTTTGGAGTCCATAAATGACAAACATACAAATATACAAACATGCAAACATACAAACATACATTGGATTTTATATAGATATAGATAATATACTGCTTGTATAGTTAATGATATATATAAATGTCTTAATTAAATAAGCGATTTTCGGTACTAGGGCTGGAAAATTTTAATTACAACTATAGCTGTCATTTCGACCCTGGACAGCAATGCGTAGCTTTCAGCCTCCAATTAACGTCTGTAAAACTACTAAAACATCGTAGTGCGGTGAAAAATATTTGCCAATCATACTCAATTGACTCGGAACACTGCAGTTCCTGATTTAATTAAGGGTATTATTAAAAAGTACTCGTGCAGTAATCAATTAAACAGGGTAACGAATTGAAGGATAGATACAACTAGACTATAAGGACGCAAAATACGCGTAGGTACAACTAGTCGTAGGTACAACTAGACGTAGGGACTACTAGACGGAGGGACCACTGGTCGCATCCGTACAAGCTAGGTGATACTACTTGTCGGTGGGATACACGTCTAGTTGTACCTACGTCTACTTGTACCTACGTCTAGTTGTACCTCCAAAAAATCTGCAGGTACAACTAGTCGGGTGTGCCACCGTCTACTTGTACCTACGTCTAGTTGTACCTACGACTAGTTGACCCTAGGTCTCGAGGTACAAGTAGACGTAGGTACAACTAGACGGCGGGACAACGAGACGCGGTCCCGCTCTGCAAGATATGTTCCACACACTCTCCTTTTACCCTTACTTGCCAATGTGGATGGGCAAATGTAAGGTTAAAAGAGGCCACCAACTTTCTTAAAAAAAAACTGCAGTTTTTATGAGGAGTAACATCTGAAGGCATAGTGTTCCTTAAATAACATTTTTGAACATTTTTTATAATATATTTTTTAAATGGAAAAATTCATCAGAGAGATTTTAGAAAGTTATTTTTAAATTAAACTGTTATTGTGAATTAATGATATTATTAATCTAATATATAAAATTCTCGTGTCACAGTGTTTGTCTGCAAACTCCTCCGGAACGACTTCACCGATCGTTATGAAATTTGGTGTGTAAATTCTGTAGGTATGCGAATCGGACGTAAACTATTTCCCGTTTCGAAATTCTTAAAAGGGCTCCGCCCCAGTGGCTCTGGAGTTTCCCTTATGGAGTTAACCTTATGAGAAATGGAATTAATGAATCTTAACAGCTGTTTCAATTAAAAAAGTTGGTTCTGTTCTATGATGTTCAATAGCATTAAAGTTACAAGGATTACCAACAGGGTGCAGCACTATTATTTCTTTTACATTTATGACAACAGCTAATTTGCAACCAAAAGGTGAGTGAGCGTAGCGAACAAACTTCAACCTGGAGGCAAGTGAGCGCAGCGAACGAGCTCCAACCTAAAGGTGAGTGAGCGTAGCGAACGAGCTCCAACCTAAAGGTGAGTGAGCGTAGCGAACGAACTTCAACCTGGAGGCGAGTTAGCGTAGCGAACGAGCTAACCTGAAGGCAAGTGAGCGCAGCGAACGAGCTCCAACCTAAAGGTGAGTGAGCGTAGCGAACGAACTTCAACCTGGAGGCGAGTTAGCGTAGCGAACGAGCTAACCTGAAGGCAAGTGAGCGCAGCGAACGAGCTCCAACCTAAAGGTGAGTGAGCGTAGCGAACGAGCTCCAACCCAAAGGTGAGTGAGCGTAGCGAACGAACTTCAACCAGGACGTGATTGAGCGATGCGAACGAGATCATCTTGAAAATTAAACGTAACGGTACTTTCTTTCCATCGGTCTGTCTTAGGGGAAACCTATAACTTAGGCGATACGAAGTTCGCCGGGTCAGCTAGTTATGATATATTTAGGTCCCTTGACATTATTTAGATTCTGATTCCAGCAAATTAGGTTCAAGAAAGTTAAAGACATCTTTCAATATTATTATAACAACTGAGATCGCTTCAATAATCTTCTGACTCCTTTTTGAGTTAGAAGGTTGTGTGTCAGTTATTAATTATCAATTAATTCTATCTTCTAGACTCATTTGAAGATCTTGAAGGAAATGAAACATCTTCAGTTCAATTTGAAACAGCTGATGAATCTACAACAAAGTTTCCTACTTCAAATTTGAGTTACCAGTCTGTCCTAGTAAGTATAGCCTTTTTAAATTTCTAGTGTGATAGTTAAGCTGGCTCCAGTCATGCGCTATTCGCAAAGCATGAAATATTTAACGTTTGCAATCTAGCTGTCTTGCAATTTTCCGATTAACGAGAAGACGTCTAAACACATGTGTTGTTTTCCAAGCAACTGTTCGTTTTGAGAACAGCAAAAATATTCGTTCACTTTGATGTGTGCAAAAATACTGACAATGAACGGGAAAACACGAGCACGAACATTTGCTGCTTGCCAAATAGATAATCACTTATCGACACTACTCATGATTTGGCGAGTTGCTGCTCGGTGCTTAGCGAATGGCGCATGTCTGGAGCCGGCTTTAAATATTATTTATAGGGTACTACTAATCTCTGTCTCCAGGCTTGCAATATTCACAGGCCAACAGATAATTTATGACTGGAGAATCAATTCATTTACTTTTTGACTTATTGAATTTTTGCTTCACAGGTTTCAGAGACAAACCTTTCGAGTCAGCAACGTACTACAAATCAGTCGCACTTATCTGATGTGAGAGCTACCACAAATTACCAAGGTATGGTTTAGATGGTTGTGTAATTAGTGCTAAAACAACTTTAGTGAGAATTCAGGATCTCGTTTTGGAAGTGACCTAATTTTAAATTTATTTAGCCCCATGACCTTTTTTACAGTTTTTTTTATAGCCAAACCTTTTTTTTACCTCATGATACAGAATCAAGTTAACACAACCTGAACTATACATTTTCCAGATGATACAAGTGACGAGTTCAAGTGGGAGTGGACCTACGAGCCCAGTGTCGTCTACGATGTTGAGCCGAGCGAAAGCCACCAGAACATGCTCAGAGGTAGAGAGACGTTTGTACAGAACATGTTGTACCAACAGGACATGTATGTGGAGATGAACAATGCTCATCCTTCCTTGTTTGCCGCAACTGTAAGTCTTTGACTGTATACTGAAGTAGATATCCCAAACCAGCTGTAGTCAATATTTTATTAAAATAGAACATTGTTGGATGAGCCAGTCACAGAGTGTACAATCTGAAATCCTATTTCATCCTTAGTTTTGTTGTAGTTAACGTTAGCTAATCCAGTACGTTAACCTTGATGGTGCTAAACTCCAAACGTCTTCTTAAAACAGCTGTTTTAGCAAATTTCCCCTATAGGGAATAAGCTATTACCATAGTACTCATGGTAAGACCTGGACCCGGGACTGATTTACTTTTTCGTTTTGAGGTCCCTAGAGATTGATGCAGAGAAGATAATTTTTTAACTGCTGAAAGTAAGAAAGTACAGTTGCACTGGTTCTGTTTTGTATAGAAACTTAATTGAATGCATATCACAGAAGTGTGAGTATGTCGTAGCTGTACTTCACGCATTTACTGGTCAAGCCATTGATTAAACGAGAAACGAACCACCTTATATATTGACCATCCTTGTGGATCAGGATAATACACAATTACCATGTTTTAGCGAATTTCCCCTATAGGGAATAAGCTATTACCGTAGTACTCATGGTAAGACCTGGACGGGACCAATTTACTTTTTCGTTTTGAGGTCCCTAGAGACCAGAAACACCATCCGTTCAAATTCAGATATATATATTTATATATGTGTCCGTTAGCGCGATAACTCGAGCAAAAATCATCCGATTTTGATGAAATTTTGTACAAACGTGTAAACCTACGTTTATTCGAACAAGTTCGCGAACCAGCATGATCGGACTATGGGAACAGGGGTTTATGGAGGGTTTTATGGGGCAAAAATTAGTTTTTCCCATTTTTGACCCTTAAAACTGAAAATTTAGCATTTTCTTTCCAAACCATTTTGTAGAGCTTAAAAAAAAATAATTTAGTATATTGAAGCGTTATTAAGCGGCTAATGGCTACGGAGAAAATTCCAAATAACTGTAAATTTAAAATTCCCATGTTATTCTTATGGAGAATAAGTAAAACTGTAGTAGTTAGCTTGTTTATGATCATATTTTGATAAAATTTGGAAAATGCATTCATTTTATACTAAGCTATTAACATTTTACAAAAACACCTTTTTACCCTACCTGTTGCAGCAAACCTAAGCACTCGTTAAACTAATGTTATTTAAATAGGGAATAAATGTGATATTTTTAAGGAGGCATTTTAGTGTAAATCCAATCAGGCAAATGGAAATTTGCTTAGTCTGCAGGTTTGCTGCGGCGGGGTTATTTAAATGCATTTCTGTTTTCCCTACTGTGAATAATAAGGTAAATAATGAGGCCTGCAAACACCTAACTCAGTGGAACGCACTAAATGCCAGAAACAATATAAAACTTAATCCTTCTTAGACCTTTAGACCAACACCGGATTATTACGATCTCTTATTATAGGGACAGGGTTTTTAATGAACTGTTATAGTTGTTGATGTGGCACAAACGGTTCTACAGTTTACCGTTAGTTGTTGTTTTAGTTTGGTATGGTAAAGAAAAGTTGGCGTAGTGGAAAAAAATCAGCAACTTGCATCTTGGCTGTTGGCTCAATTCAACTTATGTTCATTATCAAATCTTTACTGGCTACAACTTTAAATATAAGAAATGTGATGTTAACAAATTGTCAAAGGTTTCACCTTACCCTGCTGTTCTTCTGACTGGAATGTTGTTGAAACAGGTTACCAATCATTCTTGTCTATATAGGTCTTTATAGTCCAAAATTGTGCCAAACTCCAATCACTGTATTATTCAAAGCTGACATGTTCAATGCAACATTGCCGGAGTTTTTTGCCAAAAACATTTAAATTTACACATAAGACCTACATACTGTTAATACTGTTCAATGAAATGGCGACCATACATAGTAGGTATTTTAAGCCAAGTATGAATGGAGATGAGTGTAGGATGAGTGGCGCGATCTTGTAGTCTTGTTAGTGACTAAGGCCGACATTCCTTAGACACAGCTGTTTATTAATAGCCCATAGTTTAAATGTCCCGCGGCCTGTGTCGTATATATGTACTGTCTTGCGTGTAAAATTTGATGTTTGTTGACGTGAAGCTCTTACGATGTTGCATTGCAAACATGTGAGCTTTGAATAATAATTGAAGTTAGACAAAATTTTAGACCGACGGAGGTAAGCCTATAAAGTCATATACGTAGTCCAGGGGCTATCAAAATGAATAATAATTATTCATGCAAAGATCCTGAACGTAAATGGTTTTAAAAAATCACATTTTGGGGATAACAGATTTTTTTATTTAAGGCTGGGGTTAAAGTGCATTAATTTATAAAATAAGTGATAAAACACTTTTCCTTACTGCACAATTAGAAGTGACTACTTTATAATGTGTAACTAATCAAATTTGAATTTTGAGGTTTATTCTGATGACGTTGAAAAAGCAGCAAAACAAGTTGGAAAAACTTGCTGTAACATTTATAACAAGAGAGGACAGTTAATTAAATCTGAAACAATTCTTAACCAACCAGTTTGCAGGAACTATGTTGAAGCGAGAGTTCAATCTTTACTGAAGGACTTGGTCAATATCCCATCTTGTGTATAATGTACTTCGTCTTTAGTGGTGAAACTTGTATTCCACAGTCACAATAAAAATCTACGTTCAGATGAGTTATATACATAATTTTTTATCCATTTCTACTGTTTTAAAGATAGAGATACAAAACTTTCGCTACAAAATTACTGGACAGAAAAAGAGTTAAAATCATTTTAACTCATTATTCAGTGATACACTACTTCCTCGGGGGAAGGCCCGTTAAGAGTCAGAAGGAAATCTTAAATGTAAGCACATGTTGATGTGTGCATCAAATTAAAAGTTTTTGTTATTAAAATACAACGCCGCAAGCTCAAACTCAAACAGACAACTGAATAAAAATTACAGCTCTTCAAAGATTTATTGAATTTGCAATGGTATTATACCCTACCTCCTCAGAGAGGCGCCCACTAAATCGGAAGAAAATAATAAATGTAAGTATAGGTCGACATGAACATCAAATTAGATTAGAAGATCCTTAGTAAAATACAACACCGCAAATTTGACCCCAAGAGAACAACGGAGTAAAAATTACAGCCGTTGAAAGATTCAAAATGGCAGACTCGAGAAATCTTTTAATGTCTGCCATCTTTGACTCAGTAGTCCATTTTAGTTCAAATTTGCGTCATTATGTTTTACTAGTAAAGGCCTTTAGTTTGACCTACATATCAACCTATGCTTACATTTAAGATTTTCTTCTGACTCCAAGCGGGCCATTCCCCTGAGGGGGAAGCGTTACACTGAATAATGTGTTAAAATGATTTTAACCTCCAGTAACTTTGTACCAGGTTTTGTAGCTATTTCTTGATCTTTTTTAATTTTTATTTAACTGTTTCAAAACTTTTTTGTACCCTGTATAGATCTTCTCCTGGATTATAATTTTTTTTAGTAATTGAGCTAAAATCAATCTCTTAAAAAAAACTCCTTTGAATGTAACATGTATTTGTTGTATGGTAGTGCCCGTCAAATGTATTTATTAATTCTAATCCTGATATCCCTAACATGGTGATTCTTTGTCTTTATAGAGCAAAGAGCAATACCAAGCACAAATACACAGTAATGAAATGAGTGCCATGACAAAACATTTCAGTTTTAGCATGATTTTTTCTTTTTTTTTATTAATTAATGTTCTACTTCACAAAACACCAGGTTTAAGGGAGAACCAACAATACAGTTATAAATTTAAGTATAAATTTATTATCAAGCTTAAATTACATACAAAAATATGCCAACATTTTAAATATACAAAACAACGTATGTACTTAGTAACTAAGGTGTTTTTGTGATATGTCTTTTGTGCAACAACTTGTTACATATTTTGATCAAGGAAAATGTGATTAACATTGTGGTTTATTGTTAGTGGTTGTACGTATTATTTTACCATATTAAATTTAAAAAAGTTATAATAAGTTACTTTGAAAGATAATATTATAACATTAAATAGATCATTTTGGTAGTTACAGTTTTTACTTCTTGACAAATAAACATACAAATGTTTCTTTTGTTAAGAATCAAACTCAAGTAATTATTCATCTTTTGTAAATACAGATTATTAATTCAAAACTATCAAATGCAAAGTAAAAAAAAAAAAAATGATTTTGTTATAATTTAAGGTAAACATAATTATATCTTATTTATTTTATTGATTCATATTTTGTTTATAAAATTATCACATTCATCATAAACAGGACAGGTAAAATTTTGCTGAAGCATTTAAAATTGTTATAACTTAAAACATTGTGTTTTAGTTCAGTATTAACTATTACTTAATGTGAAAAATATTACAAATGTTTTGACGTTGGTTATAATAGTAACAGTTGTAGCTTATAATAGTTCCATAACAATCTGGATATATATTTGGTCAAGCGCTTTATGAAAAATGTAAACTACAACTTAGTATCATCACGTTTCATATATTTTATAAACACCACATTAATAACTACTAACAAAAAATAACATTTAATAAGCATAAACTGGTAAAGTAATTTGCACTCCACAAATAAATCTTGGATTCCTCATTACGACTCTAAAGTTTGTGTGATGTTGATAAATATAACAATTCTGTCTATAAATATAAATCTACCAGAAAATAACTCACTTTTGTAGATTTGAAACTAAAATTGAATAAATAACATAGAAGCCTACAGTAAATTTGTCTTGTGAAAATATCAGAACAAAAACTAAAAGCAAGATGTATAGCTTTCTAAGCAGTTTTCAACAATGTAATAAAACTATTAAATCTTCATAACAACCTCAGATACAGCTTAACATATAAATATTTACATCTATGAACTATTTACAAAGGTTAATTTAATTAACAAAATAAATCAGTCAAGAGCAGGAAATAATCCGCTCAGTTGGTGTTGGTGTCGGGTAACAAACCAACATTTTCATTAAGGTCTGTCAATAACAATTCTTATCACTACTTGACTAGCTTAGCTGCTAGAAAGTGTTGTCCTAACGTCCATAATTACATTTATATATAAATATTACATATAAACACTGAAGGAATATTTTCAGTTATCACATTCGCCTAAACATTCTTTGTGCCGTTGTAGGTCTTTTGTAGGAATATGGGAGTCCGTGGTATGGAGTCAGGAAGTATCCCAACTTTGGCCTTGGTCCTCTGGATGGGAGCCGCTGGGTTGATCGTAATAGGTTTTCCCTGTTGGATCAAAGGTGTTTTACTTGTCGGACTAGCGCTTGTGTCAGCTGTGTTGTTATTTATTGAGTTTTTGTCTTCCTTTTTGCCTTTGGTTTCGGAAATCGGAATAATTGTTGGTAGTTCTTTCTCATTTTCATTTGAAATGAGCTTCTCTGTTTCACTGGACGGTGCTTTGTCAGGGTATTTGGAATTGTTTTTCTTTTCATCCTCCAGTGGTTTCGGCAACAGTGATGCCATGTCTTGCATTTCAGTGTCGCGGTTTGACGGTTTGTCTTTTACAATTCTCGTTGTTCTTCTTTTCTTTGAGTTTCTGCACCTGTATACAGAGTACAGGATCAAACAAACTATTAGAACACCAACACAGAACATTACAACTTCTGCTCCAGCTACTTGTTTAATATTTCCATTCTTGTATGCAGTTATTGCTGATATCTCTTTTGTATCTGAACTAGTGGTTGTTGGTTCTTCAGGTTCAATCACTGGAGGTACAACTACACTTGAATTTGTTTTGGTTTCATCATTTCCACTATATAAATCAGGAATTGTTGTTGGAGGAGGGATAGTGTCTTCAACGTCATCGTCTGGGATTGCAGGATCTTCTACATTAGTGCTATTGTTTGTTTCTGTAGTACTGGTAACATTTAGTGACCCTTCTTCATTATCTTCTATCTCTGTATTACTAAGGCCCGGTGTTTCTTCTGTGGACGGTACTTCATCTTCCGTTGTATCTTCTAAGTATGGCAAAACAGTTGATTCTTCCTCTGTGTAATTTGTCTCCTGCAAAGAATTGATTTCTGCATGAATCAGTCCTTCATTTTTCAAGTCGTCTGATTCTTTGTTTTCATCTTCGCTCAGCGTTTTGAACTCAACTGGTTTACTATAATTCAAATTAACTGTTTCTTCTGCAACTAAATCAGTTTCTGTTTCTGGAGATGAACCACTTTCCTTTTCATCTTTGTTAGGAACATTTTCACTTTGAGACTCAGATAAAACTTTGTCATCCTCAGTTTTACTACCATCATCTGTTGATTCTTGATTTTCAATGTAACTTACTGGTTCTGCAGCTTCAATTTTGCTGTCTGCCTCGTCTAGTTTAACATCATCCACTTTGGTTTCTTCTTGGTTCCCCTTCTTCTCAGTAATGCTTGATGTTCCGTCTTCGTCCCTCATCATTTCACCCATTGCTAATGTATCATCGTTCTGAAACAAAACTTCAGCATCTGAGTTTGAGTTAGGCTGAGGTTGGTCAGATTGTATGGGTTCTCCTTGGTACGCATTCTCATTTTCATAATAGTTTTCTCTTAACAATCTATTTTTGAACAAAGGGCTATAAATATAATGGTCCATCTCTTCCTTTCTCGCTTCAGCTAGGCACAAAGAATTCTCATCCACCTTGCTCCAACTCACCCCTTTGTATTGTGAAGGTAAGGAACAGATCACATCATCCTCAAATATCACCCCTCGCCCAGAGAGCCAGTCTTGCAAATTCAGTAAAGAACAAGAACAATTGATTGGATTTCCTCCTAGTCCCAGTCTTCTCAGATTTGTCAAAGACGATATAACTTCAGTGGGGAAATTCACAATGAGATTGTTGGAAATATCAATATACTTAAGACCCTTTGGGAGAGAATTGTACTTGATAGACTTCAGCAAATTCTTATCCAAAGATAAGTATTTTAGTCTCTTCAGCCCATAGAACGCTACTCTTGGAATGTGCTCTAGTTTACAATCACCTATGTCCAAATGTTGAAGAGAATTGGAGATCAGAAAGGGCACTTCAGGCAAAAACTGGATCGGATTTCCTCTCAGGATGAGAGTAGTAAGGCTGCTAAGATGCTGGAACACTGTGGGTTCTAACTCTTCAATCTGGTTGTAGGATAGGTCGACTTCAATCACACTCTTTGCTCCGTAGAAGGTTTTTTTGTGAATGTAGTAGATGGAGCAGTTTCTCATGTTGAGGTATTTGAGGTGTCGCGCCATGTTGAACTGGCCATCCATCAGTTCTAGAGGGCTGCGTGACGAGAGGAGGGTGAGTGACTCAATCTTGCCCCCAGTTGGAGGCAAGGTCGAGCAATTGGCCACGTAGAGCCCTTGCTCGTAGCGGCAGGAGCAGTGGTTGGGACAAGCCTGCGTCAGCCATAACACGGACACCAGCACCAGCGCCAGTCTCCAACTGGATGTCTCCATCTCTGGCGGGTCCTGCAACAGAATCATCAGTGTTACTGGTGGCACTAGCAGAAGAGTTATTGCTAGAGTTTGTCACCATCACCTAATAATGCACCTAATGCGAGAGGTGATGACCTAATAAGATGCACAAGAAAGGGTAAGCAAGGTAATTATAATAAGTACTAACAAAACTAATGGTATCCAAATTTTTAAAGTTTTGGTTGTTTTAAAAAAATATTACTG